TGCACTGTGCACTCAATACTTACTTAAAAACTCCGAACGCAAACACTCATAGGTCATACATAAAGATAATATAGATCTTTAAATTTTAAAGTTACCTAATGAAGTCTTTACAGTTTACATATAACCGTATAAGTGATACACATACCAGTACATTAACCATTTCACTGCTACGAACGTACTATTACATCATACCTACGAAGAAAATATTTTTGTTTCTCAATATAAACCTCGAAAAACGTAAACAAAACCACCATGGCGCCAAAATAAGCAAAACGTATAACATGGTAATTGATAATTTATGTGTACGTTAATTTGTATACGTTATCAAATTTTTCCAAAGCGATGGAATTTACATTTAATTTATATTTATTTATGTTTAAATTATCTAAGCAAATATAGGATAAATCTAGTTTGAAATACTTTGAATACAATATTATATAAAAGTAATGTATTAAGGTAACATCAAGTACCTTCTTACATAACTTTTACACAAAATTCAGAATAAAATTTCCTAAAATAAAAAAAGACGGAAAAACCAATAAATGGGTATTTGAATGAGTTATTGTTGTTATATCTTACATTATATACTACATCATAATTATTCATTAAGGTATTTGTTTTAGCACAATTTGCACGTTATAGAAATGTCTTATAATTTTAACATTAGTCAATTTCCATCCACTACTCAAATAAACTATTACCTTAGTGTTATATTAGGACATTAGGTATCTACTATTTTATATTTATCAACAAATAAAAGTGGAAATCATTAAGAAACAAAACTAAATACTGAGTAGAGACAGGTAGTGGAAAAGAAATAATAATTTATATACCTAATGTCAAATATCAAAAATGATTTCTTGGACTTATGTACATTTTTTTTTATAAGTTTATAGTTTAAAGTTGAACGAACCAAAATAAAAATCACTATTCATAATTTACTGAACAAATCTGTATTTAAGTATTCAAATAGCTTTATCCTTCAGTTTAAGATATTTTTAGTTTTAAAAATATAGGTGGTACCACCTTAACAATGTACACTAAAATACCTAATAACTTATTTGGTACTTATTTTACTTAAGTGATTTGAATTTTTGTCAGCTTATGGTATTCAATAAGGAAAGATGATAAATTATGTAGGTAAATTACCAACTATAAAACTTAAACTAACCTTATCAAATGTTAACAGTTTTTTCAAATATTGACAAAGTGTTTTCTTTCATAATTAAGGATTAAGACTTAAGAGTTACGATCCTGACCACACTAAATGTGTATGACTGTATGAGTAATGAGCAGTGCCATAACTAAACCAATTGTGACCTATGTATGAGAATAGAAATTGAGGCCTTTTAAACTACCCACTATTAATACTACTATAACAACTATTGTCTACTATACAACTGTTTATAATAGTTTAATGAAATTCATACAATAATATTTGTACGCAAAGCCATGTTTATAATATATTTTTATTCAATAACAATTTAAAGAGGCTATATTTTTTCTTCTCAACCTGTAAGTTTACTATCAATTTTTGAACTAATCAACATGGATTTTTGAAAAGAAAAATCATATTATTAACAAACTTATTGTTTTTGATCATAAAAGATCTATACTTTTACCATTTTATATAAAAAAATCCATGCTGGTTTAAAGGAAACGCTTAAAATTACAATATTAAAAACATTTTTTGAATAAAAGAAATATAACCATACTTATCGAGAGCTGGGGACCCCTTGTCATAATAAAAATCCTAGTGCAGGGCTTGTGTGTGATGCACATTCTGCACATCTATTTTTCCCATCTGAGACTTATGCCTACATACATAATTTATTATGAACATACCTTGATCGTGATGGTTTCCGAACAATAGTCTGGTGGTGGAAATTCTCTTGATGGGTGCGTCATAGTAATTATGTTTCAACACACTGGTCTCACAAATATATGCATCAATGTTTCACAGTTCACACTGTAAGTATTTACTCGTTACGCGTTACATCCAAACATCCGCAGGAGTGAGGAGGAGACATTTAATAAACAAACAACACTAGGAGCTGGCATTGTTGCAAGTTGACGTTTCATCATCGTTATTCATTAACCATTATTGTAGCGTCTTCTAATACTCAATGCTGTAGATTGATGCTGGTTGCTGGCTACTACAGCATTGGCGCATTATCTACGTTATCTTATATTTCTTCATACCTGATAGCGTTATCGGTGTTATCATATAAACATAAACAATAACATTTTATTTACATTTTTCATTTAATGATAATTCATCATATTACTACTATTATATCATATTTACAGATATATATATATAATAAATTACTGACCATATCTTAAATTCATAAATCATGATACATATCTATGAGTAAGTTGTGAGTTTGTGACCATGAGACAATAAATTGTTGTACGATATGATATTGTTATGTCTATTGACTATTATGTTATTATAGAACTACGCAATGTACTAATAATGTAATATTTATAAATGTATAATATATTTATATAAATTATGTTATTTAATTATTATTCGATTACGTAAACAGTGAATGTAACATGTATTATTTTAGAAATTTTAATTCAATTGAAAATTTGTACATTTTTATAAACTTAATTGCTAAAACAAAATTGATCTTAACTTCTTAGTTGAGAGAATCAAATAATTCAATTAAACTATATAAAAAAAAAAATAGTTATTCTACCTACATTGTACCTACATAAATACATATCTGTAAATCATGAATTAAAATCTATACCTATTAGCTATTTACACATGATTTGATACCAAAGCACAGTTTCTAGTTAGGGCTCAATCTCGACCCCACACTTCCTAACAAGCCCTTTCTGACTTAAGTGATCAAACTAATGACTTCATCTTACTCATGCAACTGACACAATAAAACAAAACCTAACCTTGTCTGTACACTAACTGTTAAAACATTGATGCTCTATCCTCTAATAATGTAATCCTAATTAAAACTGTTCTAAATTGTATTTTTCATACCTATAGTTGCAGGTTTCAATAAGTAATAATTATGAACTTTAATATATGGATGCAAACATTTAAAAATGAGCTTATTGAAAATCAGACTTATCATGTATTACTGAGCAGTTAAAATAAACTTTAAATATGTAATTGTATTTTATTTTTTTAAATTATGTTTAATGAAATGTAACTTAAAACAAACTGTTTTATTTCAATTAAATTGAAGAATAATGTCCTTTTTTTAATTTCCTAATTTAAATAGTATAATAAAAATAAATTTCAAAATGTATTTATTGTATGGGAGAGTGTTTTAGTATTGTTCATTTAGTTAAAAACATAATAGAATATATTATGCCTATAATTTGAGCACCTGATGCAATTTTTGGATCATATAATATCATTGTCCATTAAATTGATGTCTGTCTCAATTGACAATTATAACTAATAATAAATTACTATTCTTAAACAAATTATTACATAGTACAATGTATATAGTTTGTTATTTATTAGCTTTAAGTTATAAGTACTAAATTTAAATATTACAATTTACAATACTGGTAAAGAAACCAGATATTTATTATAAATAATTGGTCACAAGGCGTTTTAGATAGACTACTAGCATCGTTACTATGATTGTAAACGTTATAACATGGACCTTAGTATATACTGCTATATCTTAATATATCTTAGGTCTTAGCCTTTGGTTATAACTTATTAGTTATACATTTATAATATGGTACACCCGTGAGATCCAAAATTATATTCAGTTTAATATACTCAAATACTCAATGGGTATTCTATAATTTTATAAGGAGTGTTGGATAGGCAAATCATCGTGCATAGACGCTAAACAGCGCCCTTTGAGTTGAGAAACCCTTGATGGGGAAACGAGGGGTAATACCACAGAATATATTATTTTCTTATGTTCTATTGTTCTGTAGTAATACCTTGAGGGCTCCATTATTTTTGACCACTTATCGGCTATCATCAATTATGTCAGGTAACTGTGGGTAGAAGAATTCCCACTGTGTTTATCAAATTCTTATTTTTAATGTGTCTATAGTTTTAAGCGTTTGAGTAAGTAGTCCCAAATTTCCAAATTTCTTTTTGAACTGTTATTGGAACAACTTATGAAGAACCTTGTTTTGCATTTCCATTATTTTGACCCAGCGAATATTTTGATATTTATAGAAAAAATACTAAACTAAATTGAAAGTACCAAATGTTTTTAAAGAATTTAAAAATAGTTAAAATATTTTGAAAATGTTTTCATGAATACAAATGATAAATTAAACATTAGGTGACAATTTTAAGTATCTACAGTTATTTGTTTTTGAATTACTACAAAATATGAAAATCGTTTGATGAGATTTTTGGGTGACTATCCGATGTGTCATAAAAATGTTATCTTAAAACACTCATAAAGTTAATTTGACTACCCAGAAAACTTCCAACAAACTACTATGCATTTTAACAACGAAATAATTTGTTAATTCTTACAATTTTGAAGAAATTTAACAAAATTCTAACTTCAGATGTTCATAAAATTTTTTTGTAGATTTAAGTTCTATTTTTTTTTTTTTTAAATACACAAATCATTAACAATTCTCTTGTTGAATATTGTATTAAATTTTCAAATTTTTTAATAGAGCGAAAAATTATTTATCCACAATCATCAAAAAAGTAATTAGAAAAATCGAAATTTTCGTATTGCTATAAATAGGTAAAGAATATTCAAAATACTTTTAAAACTGTATCATGTGTGGAAAATGGTCTTATAAACATTAATTGGTGAAAAATGAAAATAATATTTACAGTTATTAGTTTTTGAGTTACACATTTACACCAAATGAAATTGATTTTGTTGAAAACGTACTGGTTTGTGGAACAGATGGTAGTGAATAGTGATCCTCGCCCGGCGGGGATTTAAATTGATTTTCTTATCTTTAAAATCCATGGTTGAAATGGTTCTATTGCGGTATATAAACAATCATATAATTTATTCATAACATTCCTGTCGGCTACCACGATTAATTTTTATCATACACCAACTATCGAAAGGCAAGAGGCATGATTGCATGAATGACTAACAGTTTTTCGTTTGCACTTTACTGTCTTTACTAATTTGTTGGTTGGAATTTGGATAACGTGCGTTATAATTAAATTGTTTGTTAAATATTTACTAAACAAGTAAACAACTTTAATATTTAATATTTCGTCTAGTGTTTTATAAATATGAGTAATCAAGAGAATCAACTGTCAGACATGTTAGAAGTTTACATATGTACAAAATTGTCAGAACCGGAAATTAACACGAGGAGGTACAGAAAAGGTATGACGATTCATGATCTTAAAAACAAATTGGAAATGATCACTGGGCGATCAGCTGGTACGATGATACTTTCGGCTTACGATAAAGATAAGTTAGTAGCCAAACTGGATGATGACGATTCACAGTTGGGATCATATCCTGTTGAAAACAACATGTTTCTACTGGTCGATGATCCAGCATATGACACATCTGATCAGGATGATATTGATGGTTACAAAATGACCGAGGAAGAATATAATGCCAAACAAGTGTGTATATCGGCTTATTGTTATACTGGTTTCTGTGATTGTGTCTCAATATAATTTAAATGTATTTTTTTTTAGGAAACATTGAAAAGCTTTTTAAAGAATAACAAGTTAGGAAAATATAATCCAGAATATCTGAAACAACGAGAACAAGAAGAATTGGAAAAAGAACAACAAGAGAATATTGAAAAAGAACAAATTGACAAAATGGAAATTGGACAGAGGTGTTGTATAAGACTACCAAACAAACCTGTTCAACATGGCACAGTCATGTACAAAGGGCGTTTAGATGACAAAGCTGGTTATTGGGTTGGAGTTAAGTATGATGAACCATATGGCAAGCATGACGGTTCTTTAAATGGAAAGCAGTATTTTGAAACACTCCCTAAGTATGGATCTTTTGTTACTCCTTCGGCAGTCGAAATTGGTGATTTTCCAGTTCTCGACGATGAACTTTAAACATTCCTTATATCTTGGTATACACTATTATTGTTCTCATTATTTAGCTAACATCAATGAATTAGTTTTAATACTTTTTTTATACACTTTATTTTTTTCTATTAATACTGTTTAACAACATTAGAGGTGATTTAGATTCATATTTTTTTTTAAATCTTAATCACTTATAACTTTTTTAAGAAATGTCCATTAATATTTCTAGTATTGCTTGTGATAAATAAATAATATTTAATTTAATACTGTGATATTCATATTTGTTGGTAATATAGCCATAAGTTGATAAATATTGCCTTAATTAATTTTAAAAAGTAGGTTTAAGTATAAATTAATTGCTCAGAAAATCATTAAAAATTTTACTGCATTGCTGTACAATATATTAATAATATAGAACAAACTGTATAATGTCTTGCATATTTGTAAGATGATTTTTTTATTAGTAATTTTGCTTACTTTTAAGATTTGTTGAGTTATAGGTGTTTCATATTACGGGAATAATTTTACTTAAATTTAAAACTTATTCAAAACAAAAGGCTGGCTGAGACAGTTTGATGAGAATATATATATTTTATTAAAATACTGGGAATACGAATAGTATCACATTTTCACAATACATTCAATTGAAAAATTATTGATCCGATTTGTGTCGTAAGTTGTAAACCAACTTACATTAACCATTGGGACTACTCATTGTAGAATGTGGATTTAAAAAAAAATTAAAACCAATATATGTTGTAAAATTATGAACAGGGTTTGACATAAGATCTATTAAGATTACGAAGGATATTTATATCATGTTACTGCCATGAAATATTAAATATAATATAATTTAATTTATCACGGTTACTTCAATTTTAAATATGAAATTTGTTAGTACTTTTTTTTAAATGCCATCCTATTTTTTAAAAATATTTTCTACTTTGATACAACAAGTACTTTAGCTGCCACTGGCAAAACCTAATTTGTTTAAAAAAAAAACATATTCAGCACAATGCACGTAGATAGTATTTTAAGGTAAAAAACTTGGACATTTTTGAAAGAAGCCATTTTGAAGTCATAAAGATTACCATATTTTGGATCAGCTTATGTACTAATGTTATGACGCCAATTACACGCCATTATATTATGAACAAGGTATAAAAGGTATAGTAGGTACCATTACATATTATATGACGTTTTATATAAGTCATATTAATTTCAATTTTGTTTATATAAGATTAGGTACCTATAATTTATATAATATGTTCCCTGTGGTACTATTATTACCTTTGCCCTTTTCAAAAGAATGCACTGGTTGGCAGACAAAGTTTGGTTGTATAATATAGTCAAAGTGCCAAAGTACTAAGTAGTATATTATATAAAAATGGTTCTAGCTAGTGCATCCGTCACAGGCGTCACCCGCCGACCATTGCCGTTGGCACTGCGGTATTCGTCAGTGGGGTGCGTTCATAGATAACATAAGTTCTTCTATTATCTAAGGGTGCATTCTTATTTTGAAAATAGCACAGAATATATATCATAAAGACCATAGAGTAATAATTACTCTATGAGATATATATATAAATAGTATTTTTATATATGTGGAAAAGAGTACCGTAGAATTCATCGTTATCAATTCTATTGGCGACAATGGTACTGATAAGTCGTTGTTATCAGACATGTTGTAAACTCGAAAAAAAATCATTTTGGCGACCGGTGTTGGGAATTGGGATCCATAGTGACTTGAATCTAGATTTTGGTATTCAATTTTCAAGTATTCTACTTTTACATTACGTTAGGCGACTAGGCGTTTCAACATTTGTAATAAATATGAGTTTCATCGTTTCCAAATGTTTTTGCAACGTAGCACGGACCTTGTCCCGCTCCAATTACACGAGCGCCATAAGCTTGAAAAATCTACATCCAAACAGTTCGTTGAAAATTACCACACCGTCACCCGAACAGGTACGTACCAAATAGCATTAATTAAATATTTAATCCAATATTTGATGGTAATAACTAATAAGTAATGACTGTCGTGACCTACAACAGCAGTGAGACCTGCAGACTGAAGCTTTCCCTTTTTTTTTTACAAATTTATATTATTTTTAAGTTACCGAGACCTTTTTCAATACTTAATATTATTATCTTCTTTGCTAGTTGTCAGTCGACAATAAAACTTTTACGGGATATATACCAGTGGAAGAGCTGGACATCACATACAGCACTTCTAGTGGTCCAGGTGGCCAGAATGTCAACAAAGTCAATACCAAAGTTGACTTGAGATTCAATGTAGAATCGGCTCGATGGCTTAATGAAGAAGTCCGGCAGAAACTAATTGTTATTGTGAGTTAGCGAAAACAAATAAGTTGTGGAATTATTTAAAAAAAAAGAATTCTAAGATACACTATAATTTTTCTGTAGAATCAAAATAAACTGACTAAAGAAGGATATTTGGTAATTCGGTCAGAAAAGACGAGGTCGCAACAACTGAATCTTGCAGACGCTATTGAACGTTTGCGTTCTCTCATCTGGAAAGCTGCTGAACCTGAACCAAAGCAATCTGAAGAAACTATTGAAAAAATAAGACGCAGGTAATATACTTAATATTTAGTAGTGTCTAACCTTGGGTTGATATTTATTTTTATGTTAGGATGGAGAAAGCAAATCGCACAAGATTAATAGAAAAGAAAATGAAGTCCTTGACCAAGAGTAATCGTCAAGCACCAACAGTGTTCTAAATATATTTAGTATATGTTGCATATGAATTATGCATTGTTCTGTGAGGGCAACATGATGATTATTCACATTATTTTAAAACTTATATCTTATATTAATATTTAATACAAAATGTTATTTGTACATAGAATTTATGCAGTTTTTGATTTTATTTCATTGTTGCTCCCAGTATAATCAATTGTAATAAAATTAAATATAAAAAAGTCATAGAATAGGTTATTGTAGTGGTATTACATTTTAATTCGATGATAAATCATTGAGTATAATTAAAAGTGATTTTGGACAGAGATGAGCTCAGAACAACTAGAATTACACAATCAGCTTATATTTCTAAAAATATTTTATTATAAATTTATGTTTTATACTACTATTACTAATTTAGTTTTTTTATAAGTAATACAATAAAGTTAAATTCATTTGTATCAAATAAAAATCACATGAATTAAACAATATTATTTCATTTAATATTACTTACTTTTATTAACTTATAAGTCAATACCGACATGTTTAATGGGTTTAAGCCTTAAGGCATAAAAAGTATTTAAAATATTTAGAAATTTTTTAGCTGTTATGCGGTCTACCAGTTGTTGTCATCTGCTGTAGGATGTGATCTTATATGGGCTTATGATTATCTTTTTTTCGATAATAATGATTCAAAGTATGGGCTCAAACGCTCAGTACGCCACTTATTGTGGGACTGAAATTTACTCTACATATTATTTGAGCACTCACACAGTCACACACTCAATATGTTGGCAAGATTTTTATTTAATCATAAGTAGTGATGAATCAACCACTATTCTTTTAATTAATAAAATGTTTTGGCGAACAATGAAAATGCCCAATGTAATAACAGAGAAGCGAGATAAATTTGTACATAAAAAAGAGGAGGGGACAAAGAAAGGAAAGTTTTACATTCAAATGAAAGGGGTGTTAAACAACTCAAGCTAATTTTTCTTTTTTTTTTGTGAAATGATACTATTAGATTTTAAAGTATTTTTTATTTCTTTTAAAATTATATTTTTTTTTTGCACTGATAAACCACATAACATGACAGCTTAAATGCGTTGTGTATGATAATTAGTAAATATTAAAAAATAATAACAATAATTAGCTAAAAGTTTTCAAGTTCCTACAAATACTTTTGGAATAACAACAAACTAACCAAAATTGATATCTTTCATTTAAATATATTTTTTCATACAAATTTGAATTTGAAATGTAAATAAAAAACAATAATGCATATTAAAATGTATTTATGAGTGTTTTAGATTTCTTTAAAAACACTGGTGATCTTATTACTTAGGAGGAACCTATCATAGTAAATTGAAAATTGTAGACATATTAACTAAAAAACAATTGGAAACTTTGACAAATAAAAATAAAAATTTAAACACTCATAATAATATTGTTCCTATATTTTAGATATTTTTATACTGCAATAAGTAATGAGAATATTTTAAACTTTCAAACTTTTTGACTAAGAATAGAAATGGTGATAAAAATCTGAAGTGAAACTCATTAAATAAGCATTACTATTGGCTGACACGTCATTGCCCTTATTTGTACTACTTTGACTTAAAAAACATTTATAGATAATTATACATGGCTAATTTAATATTTTAAAAATGTCATTGTGTATAGAAATTGATAACGATAAAAAAAATCTTCAATAAAGTCAATAGTTTTTGATATAAAGGGTGTCTTAAAGTTAAATGGCTCAGTAAATTTTGTTAAAATAAATAGGGCCACATCAGCCACTTAGTTTTTTTTGTCTTTTGTCCATGTAGGTTTTTTTAACTTTGAAAAGTATTGAAAACTAGAGTAGATTAAGTCATGTATACATTGTACATGCATACTTATCACAAATATATGATACGTGAATAAAACTGCAGCTTATTTACATCTAGTTTAGTGGTATAAAAAATCTATGATCCAGTCTTATGAAAAAATCTATATTTGTAAATTATGTATAACTCAAATACCCTCATTTAATATGAGTAAATGTTCTTATAGATTCTTAAGTACTAATAGACCATTAGCCTCTTATTTATTAGTTTATATAATTATAACTCATAAGCAACAAAAATGGTCTTTTAAAAGTACAATTGATAATGTAGCACTCTTTTCCCCAAGTAAAAATTGGAAAGTTTTCACATATCATCAATAAATCATTGTCTTCACAACATATTTCCAATTATAATTGAAAAAATTATCATGTTAATAGTTATGTAACTATGTAAGTTTAGTTATTTATCTAAATATCATAAATCATAATAGTTATCAATACTCATCAGTCATCATAGTTTTCATATTAAATGTTTCTTCTTCCGTGCTGTGAGTGTCTTAAACAACATTTGCTACACTCTTTAGAGCAACAATACATTATTTGAATACCTCTGCTTCAAGGCTCATTAGTATTACTAAGTAAAATATTAAAACCTGATATCTATTTGTTCATAACAAATAAATCATTGGTAAAATTATTTTTTTTGTTCTAAGGAGTGCCTTGGCATGTATGTATAATTTAATGAGTGATAGTTGTTGTACTTGTAACTGCAATACTGCATCTTGTAATAAGTTTGGTAATTTGGTATAAATGTTATTAATTGATTAACAAGATACATTTTTCTTACCACAATACTTAGTAGTACTGCTTGATGATCAGAGCAAGGACTTAGATGCATTAAAAATCATTTAACATGCAACATTTTTAAATATGTACTGAAATATGTATACAACTTGATTAATATTAAAATCAAGCACACACATAGTAAGTACACATTGAACCATGAATCTAAACTTTTCTGATAAATAAAAGTGTGATCTTTAGAAAAATGTTTAAATGAGCTACACAATTATTGTAATTTTACAAAATATTATACGTAAAATTTAACAAAAATAGGTGTAATAAACATTTTATTGCATGAATTGTAATCTAAACTATACACTGACCTTAAAAATAAAATTAGTCCTTATCAGCTCCAAGACAAATTCACAGTTAAATTTAATTTTTGACATTGACCTACAAAAAATATCTACCAGTGCTCGATTTTGATAAACTTTAAAAATAAACTCTTAAAAAACAAAAACAAAAACAAACCCAAGTATGTCAAAATATACACTTATTTTGTTGAGTATTTGTCATTTAATTGCAATCGTTGTGAATTGTATTTTATACTTCCGAAGCAAAGCAAACAACAAAATTAACCAGAATCAAAATGTAAATTCTGAATTCATGGAAGTCCTTTCCCTACTGACGATTGCACTATTGCTCATAATCCACATACTATTTTCAAAGTATTTTTATTGTATTTTACAAACATGTAATAAATTAGATAAACAATAGGTGAGATATGGATAGAAGGATAATTATTCAAATTAATTATAATAAACAATTATAGTTTGGCTTCAGTCAACAAATACATCTTTATATTTATTTCAGCTAGTGCTAAAAATAATTACATTATACAGAATAAATTATTACATCAACTAATACACACAACAATTGATTTTACATGTTAAAAGTGTAACCATTAGCACTTTTTGGACTATTAATACATTATTTTCAAACCTAAATAAAAGAGGATGTCACAGGTTGGAAAACATTTTGCCTAACCTAACTAATTAAAAATATAGTAAATGTACAAAATTTGGTTGAATACTAAGTCAGTCTCGTCAAAATATTTTTTTTTTTTTATATTATATATATCGAACCTTGGGGCTCCATCACTTAATAAACAACATTCATAACTAAAAGAAATGTTTAATTTTTCTCTTACGCTTACAGAAAATGTCTCCATTTGCGCACGAGAGACTTTAACACAGAAATACTTATTTTGCAATTATTACGCCGAGATAATGCGCAACATAATAACAAACAAATAAAAATATATGTACAATATAGGTACGTATAACGCATTCTAAAATCGGGTCACTTGGAGTGAACAGTATGAAAGAATACTGTATAAAAAAACCATACTTAAAGCAAACTAAAAGGATACTTGTTTTTAAAACTATTTATGCTTGTCCAGTTTTTATTATTATTTAATCATCAATAACAATATTGTAATTCATTTTTTAAAGTAATATTGATCGAATAGTTATTTGATCTTTAAAGGTTAAAGAAATGAAAACTAGACACACCTAAAAAAAAAAAATTGAAAATTTGGTAAAAGAATTATTTGGTAAAAGGAAAAATAAACTTAATTATCATAAAATTAATAGTAAAAACTTATCTAAAAAAAACAAAAAATAATAAAAAATAATAAAGTTATAAATAATCGCACCGATAATTTCTTTTAGGTTGAGATGAAAATAACTCTAATTACGTACACTAATTGAATTATATAAAAAAAAAAACTAATTTTTAATGATTTTAACTTTAAATGCAATAATAGACAATTATTATTGAATACTTTGTGCGATGTAATTAACATATTTCAAAATTCAAATTTAAATAGAATTTTAATAAGGGATTAAATATATAAATATTGTCGGATTTTGTGGAAATATATATTGACTACAGGCAGAAAAAGGAAAGAAAAATAAGAAATTAAATAATAATTAGAGTTCATATTATTGCCTTAAAGCATAAATTGTTGTGTAAGAGCTACACAAATTGAAATAATCAACACAACAATGCAGTCTCAAGAGACTTATTTAAATAAGAAACTAAACAATATATATATAAATTAAATTATATAGCACCTTAAAGCATCTAAAATACGTTGTTTGCGTATTATAGGCATGAGCAAAGCATGACTATTAAAGGATTAATATACATAACATTTTAATGGTTACTATTTATGTAATAAATAATACACCAAAATACTTTTGGTACTACTGGTTAATTACCTATCAGAAAAAAATTGTCTGTTATTTGGAAAAAAAAGTTGTTATCAATGAATTTTTTAGAATTACTTTTGACATTATTTTTTGAAATTTAGAATAAACCTAAGGGTTGGTAAGGAAATCATACTTTATGATTTAAAAACAAAAAAGCCTTTGAAATTATGTTTGATTCTTATATATGGTCAATTGAGTAGGATAAATATATCAGCAAATACATTTGATTGCCTTTGATTTCCATAATAACTTAATAAGAATAAAATTATATATTAACATTGCACCATTGTACATTTAAGGCGAACTAGTTATAAATATATTTTTTTATAGTAACCCTCCTTTACGAGCAAAAAACATGGAACTGATGAGGGTCCCCCTCGAAGGTTGAGGATCATTTGCTGAAGAACCAACAGTACCCAAATCCATACGAAGTCTGGGACCGCCAGTATCATTACCACTATCCAATTGTTTTAGACGTCGTTGCAATGCACCATTTTCAGGCTTAGGTGGAACACAGTCTCCTATGTCGAATACAGGATGACCAGACATATCTGGTGGAACAGTTGGTATATAGTGTTTCATTGTCTCTACAAGTCGTATACCAGCCAATGTCTAAAACATGTTTAAATGTATAAAAGCTATAATTTGAGGAATAGTAATATTAATTGTTTACCTTTTTGTCTGGCCTTATGAGTGATTTTGATTTGCGAGACTTGTGATGTTCAGTTCCTCTTTCAGTACCTGTTAAAGTCTTTCTTAACAATTTGGCACCACTGTGCATCAAATATCCTAAAAAATAATTTAAGAATTTTTTGTTTGATCTTTGATAAATAGTAGATATTTAAAAAAATGCTGGTGAAACTTACCAGGTAATCCAAATGGATGGGAGTAAGGAGAATCTGATGGCGAAGGTGAACGAGAACGATCGGGAGACCCACCGGGCGATCCATATGGACTGTTACAAGGTGTGGCTGTTGTAGAAAACATAGGTGTTGCAAGGGCAGAAGGTGTAATTGCTCTAATACCCCTTTCATTCAACATGGCTGCTAATCCACAATTAGTAGAAAATGTTGTAGTTGAATTTCTTCTAGATAACATGGGTGTAGTCTCTCTGGTGGGCACTCGACTATTAGCGCGGCTATTTACTGCAGTTGACATGGCACTACCTCGGACACTAAAAATTTAAATCATATAATATTAATTTTTTGCAACAAAAACATTAAGTCATATGTTACCTGGTTGTAACACTTGTACCATCATCTGGATGCATGACCATAGAATTGGTAATAGTAGTGATGTGAGTGGACATTTGAAACATTTTTCCAGGGTGAGTTAGAGGTTCGTCTTCTTCAATTTCGTCAAGTCTAAACGTTTGAGGAAGCCCTGCTATGGGAGCAGTTGAATCACTCTTTTTGATCACACCTTGAGGTTGTTCTTCCAGAATAGAGCTGAGAGATGGAACAGATTGAGCATTCCACTGTTGTAGCGTAAATGAACCTTGCATGGGTTTAACCAACTAGACACCATATACAAAGTCAGATAAAACAAAATAGATGATAGAGAGTTTATATAAATATATCAAATAACCTGTAGTTTATTTGGTGTTTTCCAAGTTGTCAAACTTATGCTACCAGTAGACATAATCGAGTCGGGGGTTCTTGTATCTGCTGAGTCATAAGGATCAGCAAACATGAAACCAGAACCTAACGCTGCTCGTCTGGCTTTTATCGATGCTGGTGTTAGACGTTTCAAGGCATTAGCTAAATCTTCAGATCCAGGAGCACCAGGTATACCAGGTTGTTCACTATAACCGTTCACATTTCACATAAAAATAATTAATGACATGCCAATAATTTAAAAAAAAAAAAAAATAATTTTACATGATAAATGAATCGGTATCAGAGAAATCATCGCAGTCACTATGAGTAGGAGATTCCTCAGTAAGATCATTGTACGCCGTTTGCCTGGACAAGTTTCTAGTGCTTGTTTCCATAGCTGACGTCAACTTCATCATTCCAATAGACTTCTTATAACTACTTGCCCCAGACCTAAATAAAAAGACAAAATTAATATATGCATATTGTTTGTGTTGTATACTCGCAGCAATTGTAGCTGTTCACTCACATTCGTCCTGTACATATTCCTGAATCCAGACTAAGTTCAGAAAACAATGAGCTTTCCAAAGAGCTGTGACCATGGCTGTGCAGCCCATTTGAGTTCAAGTATGGTGGAAGAGATGTGAATAGTGGGCCAGCTCGAGCTAGCGGTATGTGTTTGTCCCTATATCCTTTGAGTTCGGTTTGACATTCATGAAGCATGGTAAGTGCTTCTTCATATTGTTTTTTCACTTCAACAATTTCAGATGCCAACTCATTTTGTGTGTCCCTTGCCAACATCAACATGGCCATAAGTTCATCATTCTCGTCATTTTTCTGAAAAATTATAAAGTTATGAAAACACGAATATGTAAATAGGTAAGGTATAATGAAAAATCAATTATAGGAGGAGGGTGCTAACATACAGACAAACAAAAAATTATTTTTTAAATATTTTAAGTTGTAGTAATAAATATAATTATTCTTGATACAATACTCAATATTTACCGCTAAACAAAATAAGAATATTTAACATCATAATATGAACTATTATCATGTAATTGAATTAGCCACATTAATTAAATATTAATGATTATCATTTTATTAAAAATTATAAAATTAGTTTTTTTAATAATGTAAAATATATTTTGATTATTTAAAAAGTTCAGTTCATGTTTGATATAAAATTTGAACAGTTTAGTTTGGGTTTGAGCTTGAAAATCAGAGTTTATGACATCACTAGACTAAGAATAACTAAAAGGGTTACATACAATTTTTAATGACGTCTCGATGCTGGCCAACTTTGAGCGTAGGAACTCGCAGTTGTTATGCAGTGTTACGTTCTCTTCCCTGTGCTTGTCTGCTTGTTCCATGATAACGGACAGGTCAGACCTCGTGACACTGAGTTGAGATGCAAAGTCCGACATTAGTTGTGCTTCCTTTGCTTCTACCTCGTCGGTTTCCATTGCAAGTCTGTTCGCCTCACCACGCAAGCTACGGTTCTCGTCTTCCAGATTTTTGAGTCGTGTTTGCAAATAACCGACACTGACGCCGTAATACTTTTCGTTTTCAACTGCATCATCATCTAACAAACAATGAAAAAAATAACACCATTAAAAATATTATTAAGTTCAAACCCTTAGGGTAGACAAAAGGTATTTTTTTTTTAATTGAAGGTCTTAAAATATAACGGCTGTATTTTCAATTTAAAACTATACTCACTCCCTTCGTAGCCAGTTTCGTCGGCATCATTGCTGAGTATTTTGATGAGGTCGTTTTTTTTCTGCAGCTCGTACGAAGCCTGTGTGTAACGCTCATTGACAGTTTTTAACTCTGTCTCAAGCAAACCCACCCTGGCTTCAAGCGTCTGGTTGCCGGTCAAAAGTTCTTTGCCAATACGTGCTGTTAGCTCCAAATCTTTTTCTTTCTGTTTAATAAAAATAAAAAACTAAATTACAAAACGTTTAAGACACGATTCATAAATTGAAAAAACAAAAACAATTAATTTTCATTATTATTATTATAATAATATTTTATAAAATTAATGATATTACAGATGTGCTTAAATTCTTTTTGAACAAAAGCACAATAAAAAAAAAATAACAACAATAATTGTTTAATAATGTTATATATAAAAGTATACTCACTTCAGCTAATAGTTGGGTTACTGCTTCGATATCATTATAGGTTTTTGTCATTTGGCTTACGCGGTTGCTGCATAGAACTGAAACACATATCACAATAGTGTATTATATATATTATTATACGTGTTATATTTTTACAACGGACACAGGACAATTAATCAAAATATTTGTATCAACTAAAAAGACAGTTCCAAGTAGTCGGTGAGTTGATAAGCGATCACACTGCCATATATTTCCCTACGTGACGCAACTGATATTATAAAAGGGGTGGTATTCGAGAGAGTAATAGGGTGGTGGTAGATACGTTTATTGATCCGCACGCGCCGTCGTTTCCGCGTGCGTCTGTACGCCCGGAGTCTGTTTGTTTATTTTTTGTAACTGCATTTTCGATCTGTACAAGGCGATGCTTGTAATTTTTATTTAAGCGATGGTCCATATTTTTTAATTTAAGTTTTTGAAGCAAAGCATTTTCCTGAACAATTTAATGCAAACAAACGAATTGAGAAGTATTCCACGTGTCTGCACTATATACAGTGTATATTCCTCCTCTAAATCTAACTCTATCAACACGATATATTATTAAACTACATTTTTCAAGGAAGAGCTAATTCAAATTATAACGAGTGTTATAAACAATTTGGACATTTGGGTGCCAGGGTAATCTACCTGCTAGTATTAAAAAGTCACCCTATACAATCTGCATAATCACTGCAGAACATTTGTCGGTACACTATAACTTTTTCTATTTGTCGAATTGCAAAAGCGTTTAAAATAATTCTCTGCATTTTGTACATCACAGCTATGTTATCGAAAAGGTTACAATTTAAACACGTATAATTCATCATTATATACTACTTTTTACCTACATACGTTTAAATTACAATTACAATTTCATCAAACGGGAGTCATTGTTAAGGTAATTCATATAATACCTACGTTTTTCAATGCAATAATAGAGCTGTAGATATGGGTACTACATACGAAATGTCATAACTATAAAATTAAATAATTGTATGTCAAAACAATAGAAATAATTACAAGGGTTCAAGATAATGAAAATAATAAATAATAACAATTCGTAATTTTCAAGTTTAAAATATATTATGAATTAACGTGCATATAAATGCGTGTCGCGTTTATCCCAAGGTTAAACTATAAATTTTAATACATAAAAAAAAATATGATAAAATAATAAGTACTTATACAAATATAAAAATACTATTAAATAAAGTATTATCAGTAAATTATTATAAATTAAAAAATGCAGTAGTGCAGTACACTGTACATACGTAAGAAAAAGAAATCGGATTTAGGTTAAATTCGATTTCGTATCAGAGAGGGTCATATACATTTTTGAGTAGGTACAAGTATCAAATGAATTGTTATATATAAGTTTTTAATGAAATAACAACAGAAATCATTTTAGGTCATCAATTAAAAAAGTACCTACCTACATAAAAGTATTATGTGCTTAATTGTAATTTTAAAAATCTATAAGTGAATACATCTATTAAATGAACTAATAACGTTAACAATTAGGTGCACAAGTATTAATGATAGTGATTAAAATATGAATTTAATAATATTATTGTCATTATAATAAATATTAAGTTAGACTATTCGGCGAGTACAAATTCAAACAGACCGAGAATCCAAGGCTGTAAATATATAGGTACACGATATATACGAATGAACATTATGCATGTGCGTATTTCCTGATTTAAAACAATAGTTTTGGATATAATTGTACATGGATACAATATATAATAAATAATGTATAATGTATATTACTGTATATAGCATATAGAAAGCATGAGAAGTTCTTTATGAATACTTCGAGCGAAAGAAATGTTATAAATCCATTTAAGGTATTATACTATAATAAAATATAGAAGTAGTATTGTAGGACAATAAATAATAATCAAAGAACGTTAAATAAACAATCGAAATACAGTATGAATTATTGTAGTTGTATGGATATATTATAATAGAAACAACAATAAACGTATATACCACGTTATGCATACGTCTTGAAATTAACCTCAGGTAATTACCACATGGTTCAGTACGTTGTTAATAATATATACTGGTTACTGGTACACGTGACTGAAGATTATTTAAAATTTCAAACTCACGAACAATCACTAAGAGATTTTTATAATGATTTGCTGAGAACAGATTGCGTAAAACGTAACCTTAATTAACGTGACACCATCGACTTGGATAATATAGACAATAAATTTATAGTATGAGTATCACGGGTAGTAGCAGTTAGGGCGATTGTCGAATAAAGTTATAAAAATCAAAAACGTCTCAACTTTTCGGTTATTTCAGTTATTTGGTAATAATTTGTGGTCCAAATGAATAGAACGTTTTGTTATATTCTGTGGTACGTTAACAAAAGTTACACAATGCTTTAATACGTGAAACACAAAAATGATGAAAGAAACACACGAAGAATAGACATATACAGTGTGGGTCACGTGGTTTAGTAAATACTTAATATGAGAAAACTTAGAACACCCTCGAATATAGGTATAAGTACCTACTTGGCTACTAAGGTGAATGTGTAAAAAAAAATAAGATCATTTAAGATAAACGTAATATATTAATATAATTACAAATTACAATGCGAAACAAAATAATATACTTAGCTAAATATTAGTTAATATGAAAGTTATTAAATGCGGAAAGGAAAATGAAGCCTTTATTCAATCTACACGAGTTAATTATATATTAGCACGAATTCTGTTGGTAATTAACTTTATCCTAAATTGGCTAGTCGGTAGTGGGTCGGTACCTAAATAGTGGTTACATCCTAAACTATTTCAGTTTACTTATACAATACAGGATGATACATATAGGACGTTTTTAATGTTTAATTATTATTTATTTTGAAAATATAGTTTTGTAATGACCTTAATATAAATAGACAAAAAATGTTTCAAAAACCCTTAATTTTTGAAATAATGCCTGTATTTTGTTAAAAGAATCAGCCTATACAGATCCCACTACTTAATTATGATTTTTTCATAAATTTTTTTAATAAAACGTATATTTTGTTATTATACATTATGTCGGTTATTGTTTTGAACTAGAATAATTGAATTATGTAATCAATATTTATAATAACAGTCATTAAAAATACATATATATAATATATATATTAGTTTTTCTTACACTAGTAATTTATTAATAGGTAGTTACATTTATTTATTTGTGCATAAAATACGAAATCGCGTTATAAATTAATTGGAGGCGAAAGTAAATGTAATGTATACGTGGGTAATTGATGACATTTAACCAATACAGTTATTTAAATTGTAGCACGTAATTAAGTAATTTTTTAAAAACTCGCAAGTTAATTATTACTAAAGACTTAATAATTTCTATACAAAAAGGTACTATAAACTAGAAAGACAATTATTTAAAAACTCAACAGACTATCCTATCATTTTGATAATCAATTAAATAATAGGTATGTATACATATAAGTGTATGACCATCTTTCTGACATAAAAAAAACATTTTCCTCCAGTTTTTAAAGTAATACTATTTAACTAATGTAATATAAGACAGTTAGATTGTAATAATATTATTAATAAAGCAAGGAGAAAAGATACAACTTTTGTAGGTAAATTCCAATTTTAAAACTTCACCAAAGATTGAATAGAAATTGTATAAGATATAAAAGAATTTAAATATAGTAATTGACAATTGTCTTGAACTGTACGATTTGACAGTCGAATTACCCAAGAGTTTAATATGAAAATCAATAATTCTATATTGATTGTTAAAAAATACGAGAAACTAGACGCCTCATCAGTCATCAGTCATCACACTTTTATGTTTGAAACTGTACACGCACGTCACACAAGTGTCAACTTACAATAATGAACATAATGAAAGAGAAAAATAGCCAATTTTATACTATAATATAGAAGTTATTATTCAGAAGAGCGTTGACATAGTGGTCTTTGTTATTGAGCGTAGTATATAATATACGTTACCTAATAAATATCTCGTTATCTATTTTTAATGTGTTATATACGAAAAAAGAATGATATGAGTGTATGAAGTTTTAATGATTAAATTAATAAGGTGTCGGGTAAATTATAAAAATAACACATATTGTACAGAGAAAAGAACTTGGAAGTGATAGTAGGATCATAGGATATACGATACACAAAATATATTTTCAATCAACAAGACAAACTCTTCGATAAATGAGTAATTTGAAACAAACTCAAAATTTTAGAAATGTATTAGTTAATCTAAAAATCTATATCGCAACAATTGATGGTCTCCGTATGGTATTTCTTGGGTAAGGTAAAATAATGCATCCCCTTAAAAATACTAGGTATTAGTTACCTACGCCTACATTCAAAATCGAAAAATAATAAATACATAATATTGTGATAGTTTATTAATGATTCATATTTTTACTTCATTATAAATATTAAAAAAATCTTTTCTGACTAATAGTAGGTATTAAAGCACACGTTAGTACGTTACGCATCTTTTAAATAAATATATTACGGTGAATAAAAATATTCATGTACATTGTACAACAAATAAATTTTTGTTCGTCGTATTATTTTGTATAGATGTCCTATAGTTATGAGTTAAAACCTAAAAAATAACTATTATACTGTTGAAAAATGGTTGAATTGTTAAGCGTTTACAAAGGAAGGTGTAAAAAAACCCATCATAACTAAATGATGTATTACTTTTTATTACCTTAGTAATGAAAAACAGTTATACAGTAGTAAATCGATATTTGTCAGATATATCCCACTATAAAAGTATACAACATAATATTACTTAACTTTGGCTATATTACCAAACACATAATATGAGTGACACATACGTAGTTCATCAATTTTGTAAATCCAAACTATTTTATACGATATTAAATATTTATTAAATTAAAAAGACAATGTACAAATATTATTTATTAATTGTTGAAAATTAAGTTTTTCTTATGTATTTGTATTTGTTTCATGTTTAGTATTAAAACAACGGAATGCGATTTTTAATTACTAACTAGAAAGTAGGAATAATAACTACACCAGGTATA